CTCGGGTTCAGAACGGCATCGGCTCGCAGAGTTGAGAACCCTAAGCCCTAAGCCCTAAGCCCTAAGCCCTAAACCCTAAACCCTAAACCCTAAACCCTAAACCCTACAAGGAGGGGCCCCCTAGTTATGAGTAGAGTTCTAAGTACCCTACATTGGGTTATAAGGATCCTAACTTAGGCTACAAGTCCCTTATCTATAGTTGTATAGTAAGGGGGCCCCTCCTTGTAGAGGGTGTGGGGTCATGAGTTGGGGGTTTAGGCCTCTTCTTTGCGTTTTTGTTTTCGAGTCCGTCACCACTTGATCGGGTCTTCGGACGCTACGAGGGCACAGGCCAGCGCAAGCCGTCATAGAAGTACTCCAACAATGGCGACTTCGACGGGTGCGACAGGTTGAGTCACTTCGCCATGGCCGCCTGTGCCACCCAAATGGCCAGCTTCGCGAAGATGGGGGTGAAGCTCGTGGTTGCGGATGGGACCAAGCTATCAGCCACCACGATGGCCACGGCTGCCAAGACAGCTGGCATGAAGCTCCAGATCTTGGAGGTGACCTGCGACCCCTTGTCGGGCAAAGCGGCGCAAGATCACCCGGAGCAGGAGCGCGCCGACTTAGGACTTCTAGGGCTTAGGTCTTAGGGTTTAGGGCTTAGGGTTTCGGTTAGGGTTTCGGGTTTAGGGTTTCGGGTTTAGGGTGTAGGTTTTAGGGTTTGGGTTTTCCAGGGTATCGCTCCTGAGCACTCCGGCCTTCTAAAGGTGCCAAGATTTCCGGAGGTTGCGTGAAGGCTCATCTTGCAACATGCCCCACAGCCCCTAAGAACCCCAAAAACTCCTGAACCCTAAGCCCTAAACCCTAAACCCTACCCCAAAATGCCTCAGCAACCTCAGCTTACCCTGGAGCCTATAAGCCCAAAGTCCCGAAAGCCCCAACATGCCCTACAACAGGCCCTACAACCCCCAAACAGAAGAACCCCAAATCCCAAACCCCAAACCCTAAACCCCAAACCCAAATCCCAAAGCCATGAGCCCTGAGCCCTGAGCCCTGAGCCCTAAACCCTAAACTGAACCCTAAGCCCCGAGCGCTAGCAATCCCCGAGCCCCAAGCCCCACTCCCGAATCTCTAAACCCTGAAGCCAACTAATAGACCCCAAGCCCTAAATCCTAAACCAGACACCCGAAACCCCAAACCCAAAACCCTAAAACCTTAAACCTAAACCCGAAACCAGAAGCCCTAAACCCTACGAAACCCTACACCCTAAAAAACCCCAAACACCCAGCCCGCCAAGCCCTCGTCCAGGTACTTCCGCTCCATGCTCGTGGGGGGAATGAGGGAGGCCCGGGTTCTACCTTTTTGCTGTTCAGGGTTTGGGGTTCAGGGTTGGGGGTTTAGGGTTTCGGGTTTGGGGATCTTGGTGTGGGGTTTGGGTGCTGACTACTGCTACTCCGCCACCCGTTTAGTTGCGAGGATATCTGGTCCTTGTTTGGGTGGGGGCTGCATAGGATCCCAATCATGGTATTGAGAAGCCTCCCGAAATTTGTGTGAGGGGGACGTATTAAATCAACAACTCTAAGCCCTAAACCCGAAACCAAACCCTAATGATCGGGTCTCAGCTTCACGGCCTTTTTGGAGGTTTTCGAGCTCCAAGCATTAGGTCCCCAAAGCCCTAAACGTGGATCGCCGGCGCGCCGCCGTTCCCCCTGATGCAGCCCCGCGGCAGCCCCACCACCACCGACCTGTCAAGCGACGGCGGCAAGGTTCCCGCCCCACCTTGGCCACTAGGGAGGCGCCTGGCCATCCTGGAGAGGACGGCGAGGGCGAGACTCCTGATAAAGATGGCCTGTGACCGTGGCTAGATTGTGTTCACTGCCCCTAAACCCTAAACCCTACAAGCCTTATCCCGAAACCCCAAAACTTGGCCCAAACTGCGGAAGCAGTGCTATCCGAGGCTTTGGTTGTTGCGCCTTTAAAGATTAAAGAGGCTTCGGTGGCGGCTCGGACGAATTTCAACAGAAAGCGGGTTCCCCTTCCTCTCCTAGGTTGATGAAGCCCTAAACCCTAAACCCTCAACCCTAAACCCTAAACCCTAAACCCTACATAAAACCTTCTAAACACCTGGCTTTTGGGGCAGACTTTTCGACCGCAGGCGACGACGGGAGCTCAGATCGAGCTGGGGGAGGACGTCAATGGCGATGCAGCCGGGCTGCGGCTATGGGGTTTAGGGTTTAGGGCTTAGGGCTTAGGGTTTAGGGTTTAGGGTTTAGGGTGTAGGGTTTAGGTTCTAGGGTTTACCCTAAGGGTCCGTGTACCGTAGTAGTGGACATGCCCGGAGGATCTTTGAAGCCTTCCCTTATAGGAATACTTGGGAATATTTTGTGAATATGTGGGCACTATGATTCCTAAGAAACAGCTACAATTTGATTTGTGTTGATAGGTTCCAAGTTGAGTATAGTTCCTTCAGCTCAGACATGCAGCTGAGACATACGGAGGTCTTAGGGGTTTACATGTTGGCTTTAAGGGCCCTGAAGTGGGTTCGAAGTCATATTATTTAAAGGGCAGAATGTCCTTAACACAAGTTCGTATATATACATATATATATATGTATATATATTTATTTTTTATAAGGCCCCAACTTGTAGGGTCTTTGCTACCCCTGACATGAACAACGCCAATCCGAGCTTAGGCATAGCTAAGGGAGTACTTAGGGTCTTATTCTCGGACCCAGAGTAGGCCCTCATTCCCTTCCAAAAAGGGCACCCTTCATATTCCTACGTTGCTCGTATTTTTGGATGGGGTATGTAGCCTAACCTCAAGACTGCCAAACCCAATAAGTTTGGGGTTTCCAGATAGTTTCTGGCTGAACCCTAGTAGGCCCTAGACCCTGAGACTTTGTACTGACTCCCCAGCCCTGATCCCTAAACCTAACTCCCAAGCCCCGAACCCTAAATCCTAAATCCCCAAAACCCCGAAACCCCAAATCCTGAACCTTGCCCCCAAAAGCAGCCCATACCCTCAAGCTCCGAAGCACTAGAGCCCAAACCCAAGCGACGAGACGCAAAACCCGAAGCCCATTAAAGCCCCCCCAAAAAGCCTTGCAGCCCTAAAAGCCCTAAAAGCCCTGAAGCCCCCAAATCCCCCCAAATCCCTCCAAAAGCCTCCAAATCACCCCAAAACCCTCCTATACAACCGAAAACACCCTAAACACCTTACAGCACGGCAAAATCCTCACGCCTAACCCTAAACCCTAAGCCCTAAACCCTAAACCCTAAACCCTGAACCCTGAACCCTGAACCCTAAAGAAAGCCAGGCCTGCACCCCTAAACCCTAAGCCCTAAACCCTAAACCCTAAACCCTGAACCCTGAACCCTGAACCCTGAACCCTAAACTCCCCAAAGCCCGACAAAACCCTAAAGCAACTCGCAGCCACGGGGTGCTCAAATCTTTAAACAGCAAAGGGGGAACCTGGCCGGGCAGCCCCGACTCCTTGGTGGCGGTTTAGGGTGTTGTTGTTGTTGTTGTTGTTGTTGTTGTTGTTGTTGTTGTTGTTGTTGTTGTTGTTGTTGTTGTTGTTGTTGTTGTTGTTGTTGTTGTTGTTGTTTTTTTTTGGGGGGGGGGCTTCACGATTTCGGGTTTGGGGGCGTTTATATCATATACATACACACACAGACACACGCACACACACACACACAGAAATATATATATATATATATATGTATGTATAGATACATATATATGTACACATTTGTTTTGCGTGTGTGTAGCGTTTTCGTCTTTTCGTGTTTTCGGTTTATGGTGTTTAGGGCTTGAGGTGACCCTCCCGAAGAAGAACATGGCATCTCCGTGAAAAAGTGTTCCCAAACACCCCAAGGGTTTAGGGTTTAGGGTTTCGGGTTTAGGGTTTAGGGTTGCCCCCCACCTAAACTAACAGTCCTTAATAGATATTATCAGTACCCCCTAGTAGAGTTCCTTTTAAGGACTTTTCGTGCAAACATCCCAAGTTTAGGGTCGGGGGGGCTGAGGGTGTGCCCCAGAGGTCCAAAGTAAGTACCGGGTTAGCCAGGCTGGGGGTTTAGGGTTTAGGGTTTAGGGTTTAGGGTTTAGGGTGTAGGGTTTCGGGTTTAGGGTTTAGGGTTTAGGGTTTAGGGGAGGTTCAGGAGTTGAGGCAGTTGGAGCCCTGAAGAGGTGTAGGGGAGTTCGGGTGTTTAGGGTTCAGGGTTTAGGGTTTAGGGTTTGGGTTTGCTTGGAGGATCGGGGGATTTAAAGTAGGGTTAAAAGTACCCTAATTGCGGAGCAATTGTAAGCATACTTACCTTACTTATAAGCCCACTTACCTAAGTCCCCTGATCCTTTAAGTAGGGTTTGGGGTGGGGTTTAGGTTACGGCCAGGCGCTCGCTATCATTCCAGACCTTGAGAACACAACACCTCGGTTTTTGTCGGTTGTGACTGTCAAGCCCCTTGTAGGTTTCCTAGGGAACCTACAAAAATGAGTAGGTTTGGTTTCTTCAGAGGCAGTACTTACAGGCACAGGTTTAAGAGTTCAACCCCAAAGCCCAATAAAGCCCCAGCCGCACGAGTGCAGGCTTGAGGACACGCACCTCAGTGGTACTTACTTGGGCGGAAAGTGGCTACGTAGGAACGACTTGAAAGCCGAGTAAGTATGCACTATTTAGGCAGACAAAGGGACGTGCAGATTTCTGCAGCTTCCGGCTTTTTTGAACATATATAAACACATATTCTTTGCTGCCTCACTCCACAGCTGACAATCTGTAGTATAAGCCCTTTTTTATCAGAAGGGCTCCCTTTCTATAATGGCTTGAAGTATGTATTCGGCTTGTAGCCCATTTTCGGGCCAGTTTTATGTTTCTAGTTCGCTTATAACTTTGGGCCCTGCTACCGGTATCAGCCCTGAATCGCAATGACACCCGAAATCCCTAAACCGTAAACCCTAAACCCTAAACCCTAGCCCTAACCAAAGACACCCGGAATCCCTCCCAGGATTGTTCTCCCCATGTCCGCGGCTCGTATGCTCGCCGCCCGGCGCCTACTTCGTGTGCCTGGGCCAGCGCTGACCAGGGCCGTGCCAACAGGCGACGGAAGGGTTTAGGGTTTAGGGTTTGGGGTTTAGGGTTTAGGGTTTAGGGTTTAGGGTTTGGGGTTTGGGGTTTGGGGTTTAGGGTTTGGGGTGCAAGGTTGAACCTTCAGGGAATGTGGGTTCAAGGCTTCAACCTTCCGAGAATTTGGGTTTCGGGTTTAAGGCTGGACCTGTGGATGTTCCCCCTTATCCTAACAGTCCTTAAAGGGGGTATTGTACCCTCTATGATAACCCCTATTAAGGACTGTTAGTATAAGGGGGAGCATCTCAAGTTGAACCTTGTAGGTTTGGGGTTCAATCTTGAACCTTGTGGTGTTCTAGGGTTGACACCTTGGGGTTTTGGGGGTTACAGGGTGGGGCCCCCTAGTTATAAGTAGAGTTATAAGGGCCCTAAATTGGGTTATAAGGACCCTATGTTAGGTTATAAGTCCCTTAACTGCAGTTAGTACAGTAAGGGGGCCCCACCCTGTAGGATGTCATCGGGGACCCCGTAGCTTCGCCTCCTTTCGATGGCTGGCCACTTTTTCCAGAAGTCTTGTCGGTGGTAAAGTTCTCAGAGTTGTTGGCTTGCCCTAAACCCTAAACCCGAAAAGCCCGGAGGGCCAACGAAACCCTAATCCCTATAACCCCCCCCCCCCCCCACCCAAGGCGCACCCGTACTTTGATTTGCTGCCCTTTGTAATCCTTAATATTAATTTAGGGAAGTAGCCCACAAAGTATGTACTTATTTCCCTTGGGTCACTGAAAACCTTAGCACGCTACATCCCTGGGCTCCTCAACTCATGAACACTATATGGCTGCAAAGGTTTGGCGCAAAGGAACGTGCGCGGACACGCGGACGCGCGGACGCGCGGACATGCGGACGCGGACATGCGGACGCGCGACGCGCAGTCGCGCGGACGAGCGGACGCGCGGACAGGCGGACGCGCGGACACGCCGACGCGCGGACACGCGGTGCGCGGACGCGCGGACACGACGCGCGGATGCGCGGACACGCGGGTGCGCGGACGCGCGGACGCGCGGACACGCGGGTGCGCGGACATGCGGATGCGCGACGCGCGGACGCGCAGTCGCACGGACGCGCGGACGCGCGGACACGCGGACGCGCGGACACTCAGATGCGCGGACGCGCGGACACGTGGACTCGAACATGCGGACGCGCGGGCACGATGAACCACTGACGCGCACACGGACGTGCGAAACTAAAAGTGTTCAGACGCGCGAACGTATAGGCGGATGTATGCATTCGCTGGAAAACATATACCTCATCTAAGACTTTCGGTTTCGGAATGTGACTTCTTCTTGCGCGGGACTTGCAGATGAAATGCGTTCCTGACATATCTTTCGGAAAAGCTCCCACAAGGTGGAGCGATTTTGTTTCGTAGCTATTTGCAGCTCCGGGCTTACAGAAATCTTGAAGTGAGGTTTGGGGGCCTAGAAAACTGGGGGCAGTTTCGAGATCTGGGGAAGGGGCCCAACCCTTTTCTTGTGGTTGGGTTTAGCAACCCCCTCTCGCGGCCCAGCTGGGGGGGTTTAGGGGTTTGGGGTTTCAGCAAACCCAACCCCCTCTTGTCGGGGTCCAGATGGGGGGTTTGGGTTCTTTGGGGCTGTATTTCAAACAAACTGCAGGGGGGGTTGGTTTTCGGGGTTTGGGGCTGCAGTTCAAGCGTTCCCCCTTCGGGTCGAGATGGGGTGTTGGGTTTAAACCCAACCGTACTTCTGGGGGTCTGGATAGGGGGGGGAGGTTGGGTTCAGAGGTTTGGGGCAAACCCAACCCCCCCCTTCTCGGGGTCCAGATGGGGGGGTTGGTTTTGGGTTTGGGTTCAAGCAAACCGTGAGATAGGGGGGCTTGGGCTGTATGTCAAGCAAACAAACCCCCTTCTCGCAGTCCAGAGGAGGGGGTTTTGGGATTGGGGGTTTGGGGCTGTATCCCCATGGGTTGGCCCAACCCCGTTCTCGGGGTGCAGAATGGGGGTTGAACTCGGGGGTACCGATGGAAGGGGTTGGGTATTTCAAGCAAAGGTCTAGGAGGGGGGGGGGTTGGGTTTTGGGGTTTGAGCCTTTTCAAGCATTCAGATTGGGGGGCTTGGGTGTAGGGGTTTGGGGCTGTGTTTCAAGCAAACCCCGGTGAAGATGGGGCGGGTTGGGTTTGGGGGTTTGGGGCTGTTACAAGCAAACCCAACCCCCCCCTTGTCGGGGTCGAGATGGGGGGTTGGGTTTAAAGGTTTGGAGGTTGTTTCACTGAAACATTGTTTCGGATTCAGGGGTGCTCTGCAATTCGGGGGCAGAATCTCTAGTCTCGTGTTGGGGCTTCGGGGTTTCCACTGGTCCTTTCGAAAAAGTGTCGGACTTGCACTGCGCTCTGTGTGGGTGAGCATGGACTTCTTTGGTGCCCTCACTGCGCGGATATTGCCACGAACCCGAGACAGCATGGACCCGCGCAAGCGCGCTGACACGGCCCAGAGACACTCGGACGCGCGGACGGACACGCGGACGCGTGGACGGACACGCGGACGCGTGGACTCGCGGACACACATGGACGCGCGCACGTGCGGATGCGCGGAAATGGGGACGCGCGGACGCGCGGACGCGCGGACCCGCGGACCCGCGGACGCGCGGACCGCGGACGCGCGGACACGAGGACGCGCGGACCCGCGGACCCGCGGACGCGCGGACGCGCGGACGCGCGTACACGCGGACGCGCGGACGTGCGGCGCGGACGCGGCTACCTGACGTTCATAAGTCGGGCTCCTCTAGGACCTGAAAATGCCTTGTGAAGGTTCCGAGTCTGGGCCCTTAATTTGGGTCCCTTGGTACATATCCCTTGTCTCACTACAAAAACAGGGCCCATACTTCGGATCCCTTGAGCAAGGGTAAGGGACCATACTAAGGGCTCATGGTTCCTACACCCTAAACCCTAAACCCTAAACCCTAAACGCTAAACGCTAAACGCTAAACGCTAAACGCTAAACGCTTCTGCCCTCGCCACGGAGGTGTCTTTAGCCTTCCGCGGGCTACTGCGCCTGGGATGCGTCTGGGGGCTTGCTTCGATTTGCATGCGAGCAGCTCAGGGCTTATGAGGTTCAGGGTTCAGGGTTTAGGGTTTCGGGTTTAGGGCTTAGGGCGTAGGGTTTCGGGTTTAGGGTTTAGGGTTCAAAGCTCAGCTCTGGGGGGGTGCGTGCTTCGTATACCCTAAACCCGAATCCTGAACCCTAAGCCCTTTTCAAACAGTAGCCTTTATCGGGTTTAGGGTTTAAGGTTTATAGGGTTTGGAGTTTAGGGTTTAGGGTTTGGGGTTTGGGTTTGGGGTTTAAATAGGGTCTAAGGTTGGGGTGTTCCCCTTTTTACTCACAGTCCTTAATAGAGATTCTAGCCCCCCCCCCCATGATTATCCCTATTGAGGACTGTTAGTATATGGGGGAAGACAAGTTTAAGGGTTCAGGGTTGAGGCTCTATAGGGTTGTTTGTATTCAACATCCGGCTGTTTGGTGTAGGGACCCTTCAAGGGGTTAGGGTTTAGGGTTTAGGGTTTAGGGTTTAGGGTTTAGGGTTTAGGGTTTAGGGTCTGAGCAAGGCACCGGCAGTTTTGTCGCGCCACTTCTCGCATCCCGACTTCGCGCCGCAGAGCAACATCTCGGGGGCGGAGGACAACAAAGTCCAGGCCGGTCGCTGAACTTTCACCCTATAGGGTTGGGTTTGGGTTTTAGGGTTTAGGGCGTTTAGGGTTTAGAGTTTGAAGAGGTTTAGGGCATAGGGTTTAGGGTTTATTTAGGGTGCAGGTCTACAGCCTAACCCAGCAAGCGGAGCTGAGTGCACCTGGGAAAACTGCGCTGAGTTTCCGGGCTTAAGGCTTAAACACCAAGTCTGCACCAACTACCAGTACCTCCATGCTGGGGGGTGATGGAAAATCCCTTCCCCTATACATGCAACCCCCCTTTCAGGCACCCCAACTGAACATTCCTAGAGAAACTAGAGTCCATGAAGGGGCCGGGTGCATATTTTTTGGCAAGGGTTTAAACCCTAAACCCTAAACCCTAAACCCTAAAGCCCTAAACCCTAAAACCCTAAGCCCTTTTTGGCATTTAGGGCCTATTTTAGTTTGCCGAGTAGCTTGGGCTTAAGGTTAACAGGTGTTTGAGTCGAACCTGAGGCGACACAGCTCTTGTGCTCCTAAGCCAAAGCGTGGGTTTAGGGTTTAGGGTTTAGGGTTTAGGGTTTAGGGTTTAGGGTTTCTGGTTTAGGATTTAGGGTTTAGGGTTTAGGGTTAGGGTTTAGGGTTTAGGCTTTAGGCTTGAGGCTTTAGGCTTTAGGCTTTAGGGTTTAGGCAAACCCGTACACACCCCTAAACCCTCAACGCCGTAAGCTCTTATAGTTTAAGCCCTAGCCCCTAAACCGCTGCAAGCTTGCAGGAAGGGTTCTCATTGTTCTCAGGATTCTGGAACTCGTGGGGGTTGTTGTCGAAGGAGTTCTCACACGAAGGCTCCATATACCTAAACAGGTTTAGGGTGTAGGGTTTGGGATTTGGCAGGTTTAGGGCTCAGGGCGTACTTGGGTTTGAAAAGTGTGTGAGGACCAAGCATGTACTAGTTGGGCCGTAGGATCAGGGTGTCTCAGGTGGGGTTTCAAGGTTGCAGGTTGTTAAAGGCCTGTAGGCTTTGAAGGTTTTGGGTTTTTTTCCTCTGTGGGTTTTGGGGTTCTGGGCAGGGCTTTTGGGCTTGAGGTTTTGGGCTCCCTGAAGGTTAGTTAGGGTGCTTTGAATAGCTGCTGAAAAGAACAGGACATGCTGAAGCAGCTCGTGTCCGAGAACAAGGCTTGACTTGGACTTGGGCTTAGGCTTAGGGCTTAGGGCTTAGGTGTTGGGGCGCAGGGCTGAGGGTTGAGGGTTTAGGGTTTCGGGTGATGTTTGAGGATCAGTGCGCCCTGGTAGTCCATTCGGCCATGTCGTTCTTGAACAGATATCGAGGTTAGCTAAGCCCCGAAACCCTGTAACCCTATCACCCGAAAACCTGACAACCCTAAACCCTCTATCCCTATAACCCTATAGCCGTATCACTTATCCCTATAACCCAAGAACCCTATAACCCTAAACCCTCTATGCCTCTATCCCTACAACTCTACAACCCTAAACCCTCTATACCTCTATCCCTACAACTCTACAACCCTAAACCCGCCTTCCCTATAACCCTGGAACCCTAAAATGGGCCCTTAAACGGGGATCTCTTACATACCCTATACGACCCAAGGGCCCATACTTCAGAACCCTTTAAAGGAGGTAAGGGACCCTATTACGGACCCGAAACCCTAAACCCTAAACCCTACTCTTCCCCACCCTGAAGCCGAAGGTGGTGCTCTTCATGAAGGGCAATCCAGACTCCCGGCTTCTTAACAGGGCTTAGGGTTTAGGATTGTTGGAACCCAAAACCTGGTTTAGGGTTCAGGGTTCAGGGTTTAGAATTTAGGGTTTGAGGGTCACGCGAGTGGAGCTTCAAAGTTGTCCAACTCTAGACCCTAAACCCAAACAGGATCAAGCAGACCTGCAAAAGGGAGCAGCGCACCAAGAGTTCATGGCCCGAACTCCTCTTGAAGAAGTGCCGCTCCCCATGCAAAATGGCATTCGGCTGGAATGGTTCCTTCCTGACATCATGCACGGCCAATACCTTGGTATCGGCAAGGCCTTGAACGGGTCGCTCTTGAGGTTGGGCACAGGAGCACAAACTCAGGGTCACACAGCCCAGGTTCACCCGTGCCCCCCATAAACGCCACAAACCCCCCGAAACCCTCAACCCTCAACCCTCAACCCTCAACCCTCGACCCTCAACCCTCAACCCTCAACCCTCAACCCTAAACCCTCAACCCTAAACCCTAAACCCTACCCTAGACAAGGTCTACGGGCCTGTAAGGCTTCAGGTAACGCCAGACCCTAAACCGTAAACGCTAACATAAACCCTAAACCCTAAACCCAAAGAGCGTCAAAAGATACCATGACCATCACCCTTTTTTTGCAAGTAAGACCGGCCACCAAGCTAGAAGTAGGAATTAGCGTTTTACGGCTTTAGGGTTTTACGGTTTTAGTGTTTACGGTTTTAGTGCTTTGTGTTCTTCCCATTGCGAAAGTTAGCGCTGGAAGGTAGGGCTCAAGGGTCAGGGTGTAGGATTGAGGATGTTATAGGTTAGGGTTGAGGGTTTAGGGTTTAGGGTTTAGGGTTTAGGGTTTAGGGTTTAGGGTTTAGGGTTTAGGGTTTAGGGTTTAGGGTTTAGGGTTTAGGGTTTAGGGTTTAGGGTTTAGGGGTCCCGGGTTTGGGGGTGTAGTGGAAGCCGATGTGTTGCGTCACGCAGCGAGAAGCTCTAAACCCTGAAACCGGACCTTCGACACTTATGTGATTCCACTCGGAGCAAAGTCCCTATAAAAAAAAAAAAACTAAAGCCCTAAACCCCAAACCTGAAAAGCTCGGCGCTCAAAGCCTTCAAGCTTAAATCCTGGATCCTACAGCTTAAGCCCTGAACCTCCAACCTAACTAACTTCCGCGGGCTGCAACCACCAGGCCCTAAACCCCAGACCTCAAACCCCAAACCCGAAAGCCTAAACCCCAAACCCTAAACCCCAAACCCCAAACCCCAAACCCCAAACCCCAAACCCTAAACCCTAAACCCTAAACCCTAAACCTCTTTGGAGCCCTACAGGGCTCAGGGTTCCAACCTCTTTGCCGAGGATGTTCCCCAGTGCGGCTTCTCCCGTGCAGCCACTCTACTGTGGGAAGGGAGACAGGGCTAGGGTTTGGGGTTTAGGGTTTAGGGTTTAGGGTTTAGGGTTTAGGGTTCAGGGTTTAGGGTTTAGGGTTTAGGGTTTAGGGTTCAGGGTTTAGGGTTTAGGGTTTGGGGTTTAGGGTTTAGGGTTCAGGGTTTTGTGTTTAGGGTTTAGGGTTTGGGGTTTGGGGTTTAGGGTTTGGGGTTTAGGGTTTAGGGTTCGGGCAGGCTTTGGGGTTCAGGAATGAGGATTGAGGGTTGAGGGTTCCAGGTCCGTTTGAGAGTTCGAAGTTTACAGGGTTCAGCCCCCAAGCGCCTCACTGGTTAAAGCCCGGTGGCATGACGATGGCTTAGGGTTCAGGGCTTTGGGCTTGGGCTTTGGCCTGCGTTGCTGAAGTTGACATAGCCAGGTGGCCTCTCAAAAGCCCTAGACGCGCTAGCCCTTAAACCCCAAACCCTAACCCTAAACCCTCAACCCTAAACCCCCAAACCCTGACCCTAAACCCTAAACCCTAAACCCTAAACCCTGAACCCTAAACCCTAAACCCTAAACCCTAAACCCCAAGCCCCAAACCCCAAACCCCAAACCCCAAACCCTATTCTGGCAGCTTTGGGAGTCTGAGGTTGCGCAAGCGCTGGCAGACGAAGGTTTCTCAGACTACGCCTACGTGGACGTGCTGAAGTATCCGGAGGCTGGCTTACGGTTTGGGGTTTAGGGTTTAGGGTTTAGGGTGTAGGGTTTAGGGTTTAGGGTTTTAAAATTGTTTTAGGGTTTTTAGGGTTTTTAGGGTTTTTAGGGTTTTTAGGGTTTCTAGGGTTTTTAGGGTTTTAGGGTTTTTAGGGTTTTTAGGGTTTTTAGGGTTTTTAGGGTTTTTAGGGTTTTTAGGGTTTAGGGTTCGGGGCTTAGGGAAGTCTAGGGCTTACGGTTTAGGGTTTAGGCTTAAGGCTTAGGGGTTCGGGACTTAGGGAAGTTTAGGGTTTAGGGGTGCAGGGTGGGTACAGGATTTGGGGTGGTTTAGGGGTCCACGGTTCAGTTGTTTTTGGGGTTGAAGGCTTGCGGGCTCCGATATGGGATCGTGCACAACCCATCGCCTTCACTCTATGCCCTAAAAGAAGGCTCCTAGCTAGGCCGGAGGAGGGGCCCGTTCAAACCCCCCGCCCTGAGCTTCGGGTTTAGGGTTTAGGGCTGATTCCATCAGTTCGTTCACAGAGAAGAGAACCTCGGGAGTGGCAAAGCCCAAACCAGAGACTCCACTCCCCCTGGCTTCAAGGCACCGCTCAAAGGCTAGAGACTCTAAGCTTTCGGGGTTCGAGCCTAGGGTTTAGTGTCTAAACCTTATAGAACACTGCACCGTAAGCCTTGTTGTTTAGGGTTTAGGGTTTAGGAAAGTTTAGGGGTTAGGGTTTCAGCCTTGGAAAGCCCTGCCACCTCTCTCCCCTGCGGTCATGTAGCCTCCGAATTTGTGCCGAAAATGTGAGTTACCGCGAGTCCATGAGCAACTCACAACCCTAAGCCTAGAGCCCTAAGACCTGGCCTATTGTTCCCGAATGCCTACTACCAGGTTACTACCACTCCTCCACCCCAACCCTGCAACAGCTGCTACGATTTCTAGGGGTACTAAGTAGACTTACTAAGTGAAAGGAGCTTCCATGCAAGTACTGCCACCTCCTCCACCCGAACCATAAAGCAGCTGCGAGACAGCTCCTAGCCTCGAAGAGGCCTACCAGCAAGCACCTCTAAACCCAAGGGATTCAGACTCGCACCCCTAAAGTTGCACCCCCCAAAAGTTCCCCTTAATGTACTCCTAATACGACACTATACATGTTTGTTTAAGGATCTTGAAAAAGGGTCCCCAAGGGTACAGCCTTAAGGTTCCAAGGTACACCCCCTAGATAAACACAAAACACTAAACCCTAAACCCTAAACCCTAAACCCTAAACCCTAAACCCTAAACCCTAAACCCTAGCCCTAAACCCTAAACCCTAGATCCCCGACCAGCAAGCATCCCCGAGGTGCGCGAGGGCGTCAAGAAGTTCTCAGACTGGCCCACGATTCCTCAGCTGTACCGAGGTCGAAAGTGTTAGGGTTTAGGGTTTAGGGTTTAAGGTTTCGGGTTTAGGGTTTAGGGTTTAGGGTTTAGGCTAGGACCCATAATAGGTTCGTATTCCCCATGCGTAACCCCCCCCCCCCCCCCGCTACAGAACGCTGCTTTGGGGATGTGCAGACAAGGTATGTTGACGCCGAGTTCATCGGTGGCTGCGACATTGTCATGCAGATGCTTGGCCTTGGCCTGGCCTTGGAATCCTCAAGAAGCCTGAGAGACCAAGCCGGTATAGGTTTAGGGCTTAGGGCTTAGCGTGGTTTAGAGTTTCGACATTTTGTTGGTTCGTTTTGGCCTTTTGGGTTGGTGCTTGCACTGGGCTGTTATTGACGCAAGGCCCTGAATTCTTAAGCATGAAGCCCTGAAAAAAAAAAACTACCCTATCCCCTGTCCGCCTCCGACCCCACCCTCCTCCATGTTGCAGAATTGACCTCTAGCTCCCAAACCCGATTTCGAGGCTCTCATCTTCCGAGTCTTCCCAAGCCGCATTCTGTTTCGGTTTAGGGTTTAGAGTTTAGGATTTAGGATTTAGGGTTCCGGGTTTAGGGTTTAGTGTTCAGGGTTTAGGGTTTAGTTCGGGCGTGGATGCACTGGTTATATTCCACATGAGTGTGTACATGCTCAGAAATCCATGCCCGAAGAGTAGATGGAGAATCCCGCACGTGTCTACATCCCTGGCCCACAGGGAGCCCTAAGAATATGGTAGGAAGATAAGGGGCATGTCATGTAAACACTGTAAACACCCTGGCAGGTACATTCCTGTTATGTTCCTACTACATTCTTGGGGTTCCTTGTTTGGGGTTTCCATTGAAGTCCCTTGAATATATGCGCGCATGCTAATGAATGGGTATTTTCGGATAGCTCGTATCACCGACACCCAGGGTAGATAACAGGATGCTCTTGGTGCTTTTGTTGTGGCTCCTGCCGTATAGCAAGGAAACCCTTTAACTCGTAAGCCCTTAAACCTTGAAACCCTCAAACCCTAAACCCTGAAACCCGTAAACCCCAAAACCCTCACTCCTCTTAAACCATGAATCCTTAAACCCTGATAAACCCTTAAACCCTAAAACCTAGACCCTAAAACCCTAAACCCTTGTCCAGCCAGGATGCACAAGGAAGGGGAGCTGGCGAAGATTCTGCCTAAGCCGAGTGCTGCAGAGGGCTCCTGAGAGCCCGTCGATGAAGGAGGGGTAGGGTTTAGGGCTGTAGGGTTTTAGGGTTTAGGGTTTAGGGTTTTAGGGCTTGAGGGTTTACGGGTTTAGGGTTCGAGAATTTGAGGGTTTTCGGGTTTCGGGTGGTTGGGTGTCAGGGTTTTTGGTTTAGGGTCTGTTGACGGGTTGCCCCATGGTCCCTTAGTACTAAGGCCCCTTACCTTTTTCAAAAGGGTTCTTAAATGCAGGCCTGTACATGTGCTTTATAGGGTGTATGCGGAGATGAGAGACAACCTTTCGAGTCAATCTCTAAACCCTACACCCTAAACCCTAAACCCTAAACCCTAAACCCTAAACCCTAAACCGGGCTAGTTATCTGGGTTGCTCTCCAGCGCCCAGGATTTGGGGATGATAGGCTATGAGAGGCTGTGTGGCATTGTAGCACGCTTGGGGCTTTAGGCAGTTTGGGAAATCCTAAACCCTAAACCCTAAACCCTAAACCCTAAACCCTAAACCCTAAACCCTAAACCCTAAACCCTAAACCCTAAACCCTAAACCCTAAACCCTAAACTCCAACTTGTTGGGACCCCACTCTCAAAGCACCTAAACCCTGAACCCGAAGCCCTAAACCCCCCCTCCAAAGACCCTAAACCCCAAACCCCCCTCCGAAATCTGAGTGGCAGAGCCTCTCAGAGTGGGGCGCGCAGGGCCTCGAAGGTTTAAGGCTTGGAGTTAGGATTCCGGGTTATAGGGATTTATAGGCTTTGCGGGGTTTGTAGGGTTTTCCGGGCTTGTAGCGCATAGGGCTTGTAGAGTTTCTAGGGTTTACAGGGTCTACAGGGTTTACAGGGTTTGTGCGGTTTGTAGGATTTGCGGGGCGCGAAAGCCTCGAGGCTTTTGCATGGGTTTTGGGGTTTGGCAGCCACGTGAGCTATTCAGAACCCTAAACCCTATAAACCCTAAACCCATTAGGGGTTTAAGATTTTGGGGTTGAGGGTCAAGGTTTAGAGTTGAGTTCTGGGTTTGCGGTCGCTTGTGGGAAGGCCTTTGCCGCCCTCGTACACAGTGTACATACACAACAAAACCCAAGCGGAAGAAGCGCAGTGAGCAGCGAGGACGAAACAGCAGTGTGTGCAGAGAGTGGGTGACCAAAAGCCCTTCTAATTAGGTCCCCGAGTAGTACCCTTGTTCCCTTTTTGTTTCGGGGGGTCCTTATTAAGACGGAATAGTAAGAAAAAGGTTACCTTATTGTTAAGGAGTTGCTGGGGAACCTGGTCTTTTCCATAAGCGACACTGACCTAGTTTCATTCACGACATTCGCAGATCCTGAACCCAAAGTCCTAAGTCGTAAGTCCTAAACCCTAAACCCTAAACCCTTAGCCTAAACCCTAAAACCCTAAACCCTAAACCCTAAACCACCAATCGATCCTGAACCTGAACATCCTGAAGTGTTAGTGGGCCCCTGAACCCAGACCCCCTCGCCCCTTCCAAGAAGCCCTCCATAACAAGGGTGCCTACGTTTAGAGATTAGGATGATTTTACTCTAAGTCCTGAAAAGGCCTAAGTGAGGTGTCCAGCAGGGACCCTCAGTGAACATTGATGGTATATAGAGCATTTAAGGACTTAAGGAAATTTATAGGGTTCATTAGAGCACTTAAGGACTTAGGGAAGTTTATAGGGTTCATTGCGGGGTTTACAGGGTTCAGGGCTCAGGGCTAGGGTTTAGGGTTTAGGGTTTAGGGTTTAGGGGTTAGGGGTTAGGGTTTAGGGGTTCAGGGTTAGCCAAGGCTCTGGAAGCACTGCTCCATTTCCTCCACACTGATCAGTGCAGCACTGAGCAGGCTTTAGGTTTAGGGTTTAGGGTTTAGGGTTTAGGGTTTAGGGGGGTAGGGTGTAGTGTTGGGGGTTTAGAGTCTAGGGTTCAGGAAATCGGGAAGTCTCTAGCTACCGACTGCTACTCCACGCAGAAGGGTCTGCAATCTAAGATCCATTCAGCATGCCCTTTGGGCATTACCCTTAGAAGAAATAGATGGGTCTCGTAACATCCCCCCCTTAAAGCCTTAGACTCCCGTATATTCTCCTTTTAACCCTAAACCCTAACACCCTAACACCCTAAACCCTAAACCCTAAACCCTAAACCCTAAACCCTAAACCCTAAACCCTAGGGGTTTGGGGTATGGTGAATTGTTCTTAGATACAATGGGCTAACTTATCCTGCGAAGGTGGCCACTGGCGAAGGTGGCCCCAACTTCGATTCCTTAGGAGCCCAATAGGTGAGCTTTAAGCTTTTGGGGTACACCCTAAACCCTAAACCCTAAACCCTAAACCCTAAACCCTAACCCCTGCGAAAAGAAAAGTTTAAACTTTTTTGGGCCAGGGTATTGGGCAACTAAGATTTCTTTGGAATCCGAACAAGCCCTTTGGGGGGCCCAGAAATGGCCTGGCATGTTGCCCTCAACTATCCGAAAAGGACCTTTGGGGGGCCCGGAAATGATCCGGCATGTGCCACGGTGATGCACCCAGCAGCCCAACCTTGGATGAGCTGCTCGTGCGAGCTTCCAGGTAAGTGCTCTATCGGATGCCATGCGCTTCTTCTTTCCTGTGAGCCCAGCGCCCCTTGAATCCCTAGATTTTGGGGTGTGGCTTGGGGTCTATTCGCCCAAGGGCGTGAAGTATGACACCTGAACTGTATTAACCCCGAACACCACCCACCCACCCCCCTAAGCCCCGAAACCCCCCCAAACCCTTGCTCCTCCTGAACCCCCAAGCCCGGAAGCTTGCACAGGAACCCTGATGCCGGAAAGGCTGAAGCGCCATAACAGGCTGGTAAGGGCGCATAGAGGTCAGAGGATTCAGCTGAGGGGTTTAGGGTTTAGAGTTTAGAGTTTAGGGTTTAGGGTTTAGGGGTTTAGGGGTTTAGGATTTTACGAGTTGAGGGGTTTTGGGGTGGGGTTGAGGGTCTGTTGGGAAGCAGGGTTTAGGGTGCAGGGTGATAAGGCGAGGACTCACACGATACTCCTTAAGGGAGAGAGGCAGTGTAGTCTGAACACGGCACCATATCTATTCTTCAGCCCCGTGCCCTAAACCTCCTGAAAGCCAAGACCCCTAGACTCCAATCCTGACCCTAAACCCCAAACCCTAAACCCTAAACCCTAAACCCTAAACCCCAAACCCTGCGACAGCCGTGGTGCGCTCCGAGACGCTAAGGTTTGAGCCCGTCCTTCCCCCCGAAAAGGCCGGACAGGGAGGGCGCTCCAGGGTTTAGGGTTTAGGGTTTAGGGTTTAGGGTTTAGGGTTTAGGGTTTAGGGTTTAGGGTTTAGGGTTTAGGGTTTAGGGTTTAGGGTTTAGGGTTCAAGTTCAGGGCTTTTAAGGGGCTTAGGGTTAAGGGTCTTTATGTTGGGTTTAGCATTTTTCGAGTTCAGGACTTTTAAGTGGCTTAGGGTTTAGGGTCTTTAGGGTTTAGGGTTTTTCGAGTTTTGGTGTTTGGTGGTTTTGGGGTGTAGGCTTGAAAGGTTAGGGTTACGGTTTATGGTGGATTTGGGGGTTTAGGGTCAAAGGCTTTAGGCTTTGGTTTTGGAGCGCTCCGGGTTGCACAAAACGGCTTATGGGGTTTACCGGGTACAGGGCTAGACCAGACCCAACTACCTGCACAAATGGCCTGCATGCTCCCATTGACGTACCTCCAGTTTCAACCCTAAACTCTAAACCCTGAACCCGAAACCCTAAACACTAAACCCTGAACCTTTAGGTCTTAAGGGCTTTCAGGACTGGGTTTGGGAGTCGTTGCGGTTGGGGGCTTAGGATTTAGGGTTTACACCCTAAACCTGAAACCCTAAACACAAACCTCAAACCCAAACCCCAAACCCTAAACCCCAAACCCCAAACCCCAAACCCCAAACCCTAAACCCTAAACCCGGGGTTCCATCAGAGTTGCCGAAGGGGAGACCTTACGCCAGGAAGCCAGATCCTTCTCGGGCCCCAAAGTCTTTCAAGCATGGAATTTGAGGGTTTAGGGTTTAGGGTTTAGGGCTTCAAGTGTGCAAGTTCCTGGGGTATTGTCAACGGGTTTATGACATGGTTTGTCATGGATGCTGTAAGGGTTTAGGGTTTGGGGTTTAGGGTTTCGGGTTTTTCTTGTGTTGCCCTTGCCCTGTTCATCTATTTGCTTGAGATGCCCCCGCCACAAAAACATAGCAAGTAAAAACAACAGAAAAAAAATGCTCGCAAAAGGAAGAATATTTGGTTGGTGGTTCTTGAGAAAATAGGTGCTAGGATGCCCAGTAGTATCCTTATTCCTTTTTTTGGGCGAGGGGTTAGGTTCATTGATAAACCCCTTTCAGCAACAAAAAGCGCCCTTTTTAGTCCTAGGTTACTGGGCAAGCTGGGTAGTGTTGAGTTGTATGGAGCCAAAAGCGCCAGGGATTGCAATCCAGTAGGTCTAGTGCCTTCCACTGGTCTCCCAAAACCCTAAACCTTAAATCTCGTTGACATGTTCCACCTGCTTTCTTAGCAAAGCAGAACCCGATTACAAGCGAAACCGCAGACATAAAGCCGTCCTCACATTGCGGCCGTGCGGCTTCCGGCGGCGTCCGCTGACGCTGACGCAGCTGCCCCGCCTCCCGGCGCTGCCAGTGGCGAAGCATCCGAGCGCACTTCCGGTGGACAAACAGGAGGGCGAGGCTAAGAAGAAGCGTGAGCAACCCAATGAACGAGAGGTGGTCTAGAAAGCGTTTGTTGGATTGGACTCAGTTCTCAGAGAGACACGGCAACCGAGAGTACCATGGAGATCATGAAGGGGACAAGACCATGACGGAGCCCAAACCCTAAACCCGAAACTCCCGAGTTCCTGAACTGGGCCCAGCAAACGAAGCGCCTGACTCCCGCTGGAGCGCGAAACTGGTGGAACGAGTTGAAGGAAAGATGATGATGTGCGCCCTAAACCCTAAACCCTAAATCCTAAACCCAAGACCCTAAACCCTGAAACCCATACTCCTTGCAAGTCTCTAGGACCAAAAGG